ATTTTTCAGGGAGCATAAAAAAATTCAAAGTTTAGGAAGGAGATAATTCTGGAAATAAGGATGCTAGATTTATAAACCTTGTCATATTATTATGATGTGGGAGTCTGAAGTAAATCCTATAAGTAATGAAGAAGTTGGAGTAAAATATACCAATTTCTCGAAAAAAATCCAAGTTCAAGGGGGACATAATTCTGGAAATAGTCTTGCTAGAGTATTGAACCTTCTCACAAATGATTTAAGTGATAATAAGAAACATATATATGAAGTTTGAAGAAGATACATTAAGAAATAAAGAATTTATTTAAAAAAAAAAACAACAACATTTTTTTATGTTAGTTCAAGGGAGGCACTTCTGATATTTTTTGTGATAGAGTTAAAACCTTCTCACATATGATGTGGTTGATGACCAGAAACTTATGTTTGAAGTTTGAAATAAATACCTTAAGAAATAAAGAACTTATAGTGAAAAGGCCTAAAAATTAGAATCAGAAATCTTGACGAGGTTGCTGACTGTTGTTAAGTATGGCAGCTCTCAATATACTTCCTATAGTCAAGATTAAAATGATGTGTATAATTTCCATACTACCATCTATCCATATTTTAAGTTTTATAAAAAATTTCAGCTTTTTTTTACTAATCATAAATATTGTTATATTTGCCATGTTTTAAGCCTATTTGTTGCCATGGCAACAATTTCTTTTTCAAAATAGGTGAAAAGAAAAATACATGCATAATTTCCATATTGCCATTTACCCATATTTCAAGTTTCATAGAAATATTTTCAGTACTTTTTGCTTTATCACTAGATCCAGTTAATGTGATATAAAATTTGCCATTTTAGTCTATTTGTTGTCATAGCAACCAGAATTTTCAAAATAGGAAGAAAAGATAAAGATGTGCATAATTTCCAGACTGCCTTCTACCCGTATTTGAAGTTTCATAAAAAATTTTCCTGTACTTTTTGCCTTATCACTGAATCCAGTTTATATGTAAAATTTCCCATACTTTCAGTCTATTTGTTGCCATAGCAACCAGAATTTTTAACATAGGAAGAAAAAAAAAAAAATATTTTCAGTACTTTTTGCGTAATCGTGGGATCCAGTTTTGTGGACGCACGGACTGACGGATGGACAGATGGACATCCGACCTAATAGGGATAAAGGGCCATTTCTATTGTTATTTTTTTTTGTTTAATAGAGGGCCATGGCCCCTTATTCTATTGTTACATAATGAATTCTATTGTTCTCTTTTGTTCTGTTTACAGTAAGATGGCCCCCTATCCCTATTTGGAAGTGCAGAGAGACAGACATTCTAACAGGAGAGTAATAATGTGGCTACTCTATTGTTCTCTCTATTGTTCTTTTAGCCACACAAAAGAAAATAGCCACATAAAAGCATTACGGAATGAATGACATCAAAGAGAAAGAACAGTTACCTATTGTCCCTCTAACCACATAATTACTGTCCTGTGTGTGTGGACGGACAGACAGACGGACGTTTTAACAGTAGAGTAATAATGTGGCTACTCTATTGTTCTCTCTATTGTTCTTTTTAGCCACACCAAAGAAAATAGCCACATAAAAGCATTACAGAATGAATGACATCAAAGAGGAAGAACAGTTACCTTATGATTGTCCCTCTAGCCACATAATTACTGTCCTGTGAGTGCTGACTGACTGACGGACAGACGGATGGAGGGTAAACCTAAAGTCCCCTCCTGTAAAACGGTAGGGGACGAATTAGGGGTTTTTAATCTATCAATAAAAACAAACAACATTTCAAAAGTTGTAAATGTTACATTTCTCCTGTTAAAAAGGCACACAACTGATAATGGGTTTTCTAATAACCATCATGTATCGGTATATACACGTAAATAAACAAAGAAACATGCAAACAAAAGGGCCATGATGGCCCTAGATCACTCCCCTGTTCCATCGAACTCACTGGAGCAATGTCTTAGACAAGCATCCTGACCAAGTTTAATGACCATTGGGTCAAAAAATTGACCTCTAGAATGTTAACAAGGTTTTTCCATCTTTGGGCAGTGTTACCTAGTTTTTGACACCATGTGAACCATATTCCAACTTGACCTAGCAATCATCAAAACAAACTTTCAGACCAATTTCCAGGATATTTTGATAACAATAGTAGTCACTAGAGAATTCACAATTTTTTTCTATTTTTAGCTCCTGTGACCTAGTTTTACATCAGAGATGACCCATGTTCAAACTTCACCAAGTAATTAACTAGACAAGCATCCTGACCAAGTTTGATGACAATTGAGTCAATACCATTAGGTTATTAACAAGGTTTTTTCAATATTTGGGCAGTGTCACCTAGTTTATGACCCCAGGTGACTCATATTGGAACATGACCCAGAAATCATGAAAACAGACTTTCAGATCAAGTTCCAGGATATTTGGAGCAAAACGACAGCCACAAGAGTGTTAAAAAGCTTTTTCTATTTTTAGACGCGAGATGACCCAAATTCAAACTTGACCTAGAAATCATCAAAACAAGCTTCCTCACAAATTTCCAAAATATTTTGATCAAAACTGCAGCAAAGTGTTAACAAGATTTTTTATTTTTTGCTCCTGTGACCTAGTTTTTTGACTGGAGATGACCCATAAATGATTTGACCTAAAAATCATCAAAACAACATTCCTGACCAATTTCCAGGATATTTGGATCAAAACTGCAGCCACTAGAGTGTTAACAACATTTTTCTATTCTTAGCTCCAGTGACCCAGTTTTGGACCGGAGATGACTCATATATAATACAACTTGACCTAGAAATCATCAAAACAATTTCTGACCAATTTCACGGATATTTGGATCAAAACAGCAGCCATTATTAGTTTGTTAACAAGATATTTCTTTTTTTAGCTTATGTGACCTAGTTTTTGACTGGAGATGACTCATATTCAAATTCGACCTAGAAATATTCAAAACAACATTCCAGACCAATTTCCAGGCTATTTTGATCAAAACTGCAGCCACTAGAGTGTTAACAAGCTTTTTCTTTTCTTTGGTCCTGTGACCTAGTTTTGGACCAGAGATGACCCATATTACAATTTAACACAGAAATCATCAAAACAACCTTCCTTACCAACTTCCAGGATATTTGGAGCAAAACTGTAGCTCCCAAGATGACCCATATTCATACTTGACCTTGAAATCTGTTTCAATTGTTTCTGACAAGAGACGACCCATAAACCTTCCTGACAAGTTTCTACAAGAACCGATTGATAACAAGAGCGATCAGTAATCACATGTGTCGCCTCATGATGGCCAAATTCATGTTGGGACAACTTTTGTGACAGACAGACGGACAGTGCACAACTAGACTTGGTACTGATCATTCCTGTAAAGTTTGGATAAAATTGCACCAGTAGACTAGTTTTAATGAGGAGTAGTCCGGACAAGCTTTTGCGTATCTGGCAACACAAAGAAAAAAAACACCTTTTTTATCAAAGGCCATAAACTCGGCCAAAAATCATTCAACCGGAAAAACCCATGCAATATGCGCAAGGACTTGAGCTACAGAATCAAATCCTTGTAAAGTTTCATTGAAAATTGCATTAGGGTATAAAGAGAAGTAGTCCGGACAAACTTTAAAATTAAAAATTATTAAAGGGCCATAACTCTGACAAAAATCATTTGAACCGGAAAATGCTGACAATATGCACAACTAGACTTGGTACTGATCATTCCTGTAAAGTTGGATGAAATTGCAACCAGTAGTTTATGAGGAGTAGTCCGGACAAGCTTTTGTGTATCTGGCAACACACAGAAAAAAACACCTTTTTTTTCAAAGGGCCAACTCGGCCAAAAAATCTTCAACCCGGAAAACCGTGCAATATGCGCAAGGACTTGAGCTACAGATCAATCCTGTAAAAGTTTCATTGAAATTGCATTAGTGGTATAAGAGAAGTAGTCCGGGACAAACTTTAAAATTAAAAATTATTAAAGGGCCATAACTCTGACAAAAATCATTGAACCGGAAAATGCTGACAATAATGCACAACTAGACTTGGTACTGATCATTCCTGTAAAGTTTGGATGAAATTGCACCATAGTTTATGAGGAGTAGTCCGGACAAGCTTTTTGTGTATCTGGCAACACCACAGAAAAAAACACCTTTTTTTCAAGGGCCATAACTCGGTCCAAAAATCATTCAACCGGAAAACCCGTGCAATAATGCGCAAGGATCTTGAGCTACAGATCAATCCTGTAAAGTTTCATTGAAATTGCATTAGTGGTATAAGAGAAGTAGTCCGGGACAAACTTTAAAATTAAAAATTATTAAAGGGCATAACTCTAAAAAAATCATTGAACCCGGAATATGCTGACAAAATGCACAACTAGACTTGGTACTGACATTCTGTAAAGTTTGGATGAAATTGCACCAGTAGTTTATGAGCAGTAAAGTCCGGACAAGTTTTTGTGCACGGACGGACGGAGAGACAGACAGACAGACGGACAGACAGACAGACGACAGAGAAGTGATCCCTATATGTCGCCACTACTCCGTAGAGGCGACACAAAAATCCAAAGAGTTACCAACACCCATTGTGCTCTTTTTAAAGGATGTGCGCAAAAACGAAAGTACAAATTAATGATACCCGATGGTGTCAGATTTCTTAATTTGTCCCATCCCGGTTACTACGGAGACTCAGTTTTAATGAGGAACCATGAGTTCCGACAATCTTGTTGTATCGGGAGTGGACTGTAATTCAAAATCAAACTTATGTAGAGTTACTATTCTTTGTCACTGCATTTCCTGGAAAAGGTCTCTACAAATCATGTGAAGCATTATTAAATTAAAGGATTCTTTCTGTCAACTGAGGGTGCTTTGACAGACAGACAGGTGGACAGACAAGGCAGTGACAGGAAGCATAAAAATCCTTAATTCTTCACTTCTTTTAACTATCTATCACAGGTTTAAACAATTAAATGAATATGAATAAGAAACATTTCAAAAAGGAATATAAACATACCAAACAAATTTGATAGATCAACTATATAGATGTATGATTCATTAGAGCCAAGAGCAAGGTGATGTTTGTACGGTGATCCATTAGGTGAAGCCATGGTAACATAAGGATGCCAGGTGACACAGTTCACAAGTTTATGATGGACCTGTATTATTGCCATGAGTACGAAATCTACAGCACTGTACACTTCAACTGTCCTGCAAAACAAAGAAACTTTAGTTATTATTTTATTATTAACTAGAAGGGGTTTTTGTCGCAAAAACTTATGTCTCCCAAAATTAGGTATGGTACTGATCACTCCTGTGAATTTTGGTCAAAATCCTTCTGGGAAGCTGAACAACCTTTTTCTATTTATAGTTCTGACGGCCCATTTTGTGCAGCGAAGCAGAAAATGCCGGCAATATGCACAATCAGGGATCGTACTGATCACCCCTGTGAAGTCTCATTGAAATCCCAATGGCAGTTTAATCTGTGAAGGTAAGACAAGTTTTTCTATTTCAAGATCTGGCAGCCATCTTGTGCAGCATGCAGAATTTGCTGGCGATATGCACAACAAGTGATGGTAATGATCACTCCTGTGAAGTTTCATCAAAATCCCACCAGGAGTTTGACCTGTGAAAGCCGGACAAGATTCTTCTATTTATAGCTCTGGCAGTCATTTTGTGCAGCAAAGCATAATGTGCCAGCCATATGCACATTTTAAGGGATGGTACTGATCACTTCTGTGAAGTATCATAGAAATCCCTCTGGGTGTTTGAGTGTGTAAAAGCCATGAAGTTTTACTGAAATCCAACCAGCAGTTTGATCTGTGAAAGCAGCACAATATTTTTTTTTTTAATTTTTAGCACTAGCGGCCATTTTGTGCAGCAGAGCAAACATGCCAGCGATATGCACAACCAGGCCTGAGGGATTGTACTGATTACTTCTGTGAAGTTTCACTGAAATCCAACCAGCAATTTGACCTGTGTTCAAGGCGGACAAGATTTTTATGTTTATAGCTCATGTGGCCATTTAGTGCAGCAAGCAGTATGTGCTTGGAATATGCACAACTAGGGATGGAACTGATCACTTCTGTGATGTTTCATAGAAATCCTACCAGGAGTTTGACCTGTGAAAGCTGGACAATATTTTAATATTTATAGCTCTAGCCACCATTTTGTGTAGCTGAGCGAAACATGCCGCTGATATGCACAACTAGGGATGATACTGGTCACTTCTGTGAAGTTTCATTGAAATCCCACCAGCATTTTGACCTGTCAAAGTTTGACAAGATTTTTCTACTTTTTGTCCTGGCAGCCATTTTGTGGCACAGAATGTGCGAGTTATATGCACAACAATGGATGGTACTGATCATGTTTCATGTGAAATATCTAAGATCTATCTCTTTTGGATTTTCACAAGAATATTTTTAAAGTTTTTACTATATGCATTTATATGCATATAGTAAAAACTTTAAAAATATTCTTGTGAAAATCGATGACCCCTGGGGCAGGGCCAATTTTGACACTAGGGCATTTATAAGGACAAACATGGTAGACACTCACTAGAAGATGATTCATGCTTAATATCTAAGCTCTACCTCTTTTTGATTTTCACAAGAGGATTTATAAAAAAAAATGAAAATCACACCTTTTTGGTTGAACACAAAAGACAACAAAAGTTGCAGTTCAACATTTTTTTAAATAAGTGACAGCCAGTGAACATGTTTTTAACACCTCGTGATCATTATAAAGGCAATTAAGGTTAATTGATTCAAAATTAGAGGTGTTGTAACCGATTTGTTTGTTATGATAATATAGTTACTTTGTCATCTTTAATAATGCCGAAAAAGAATATAGCTCGTGAAACAAGA